AAATGGGCCCAGATAAAACTACATATATATCATTTATCCCGTTATGTCATTAAACTCGACATAATTGTTGTAGGTAGCCCAAACACTTTCTTCAATAGGTATAGTATGACCAGAAATTATTGAGAATTTTAGGAATATTTTTAATTGGATTTCTAGTATAAACAACCTTGACCAGCTATCAAGTGCTTGGTTTCATTCAAGAGAGACAACTCCGTTAATCCTTTTTCATTAGTTTGTGAAGAGTTATCCCCCTTTGTTTACTTGCTAGCAGACGACATTTTCAGTGATCCTCAGTGTGGATGATTTAGAGAAGAGGAAGTTGATTTTAGAGTATTATAACAAGGACATCAGATCAGCCAAAGTGATTTCAAGTAGAACAGGCATCCCTTTGTCCACTGTTTATCGTGTTTTGAAAAATATTGCAAATGGATATGGCATTCAGCACCAGGGAGGCGCAGGTAGGCTCAGAAAATTGACTGTCGGTGACAGGAGGCGGCTTGGTATTCTTGTTTCTAAAGACAAACGGAGGAGTTTAGAAAACTTAAAGCTGGATATGATTGATAGATGAACTGTGGCTGTCTGTAAGGAGACAATTAGAACTGAGCTGCATGCAATGGGTTGGCAGAAAAGTCGAGGAATTCCATCACCGATCATGAAACCTGAACAAAAAGAGCGAAGGTTGAACTGGTGCTTACAGCATAGACATTTTAACTGGGACAATGTGATTTTCTCAGATGAAAGTTCTGTGTGGCTGTTTCCTAATACACTGAAATTCTGGACCAAGCAAACCGAAAAACCTTTGTATCAGCGCCCAAAGTACAGTCCGAAATTTAACGTGTGGGGTGGCATATCTGTGTTAGGGGTAACGCCCCTCTGTGTATTTTAAGGGAATATGAACAGTGAGCGGTACACAGATATTCTCGAGGGACATTTACTTCCATCTGCTCACGTGTTCTATGGAAATGTTTGGATTTTCCAACAGGACAACGACCCAAAACATCGTTCAAAGCATTCACAGGCCTGGTTTCGGACCCAAATATGACATTATTCGATTGGCCAAGCTATAGCCCTGACCTAAATCCAATAGAACATGTTTGGGGTCTTATGAAGGAAAGTAATTAATAAGAAAAATCTGACAAATATTGCTGAAATGAAAGAAGAGGTGGTCCGATATTGGGACAGCATGGACCACGACTTTCTAACTTCTTTGATCAGTAGTATGCCCCGCCGCATTGAAGCCTGCATTGCTGCCCATGGTGACTTGACAAAATACTAACTGCTCACCTGTCTTTGAATCTGGAGTTATGTTCTGCTAATATTCACATTTAATGCGTGAGTAATGAGTGAAAAAAATATAAAAAATTACAATCTTAAATTCTCAATAATTTCTGGTTGTACTGTATCTGTATCTGTAATATACTAGTATTCAGATCATTGAGAAAAGTTCTCCTTTATCACACATGTGATTGTTGTTTATGTTCCCAGTGATTATTGATAGCGTTAAAGCAACGTAATATGTAAGGCAGGCAGTATCATCTGTAGTAGTACTGCCATACCTAGCACCATATATCTATTACTTTCTTTTTCTCTTACACAAAGGTGAAACATTATAGGATTGTCATGGTAACGATCATTTGGCTTACCATTCGTTGTCTAAAGGGCGGTGGGGTAGCCTAGTGGTTAAAGCGTTGGCTCGTCACGCCGAAGACCCGGGTTCGATTCCCCACATGGGCACAATGTGTTAAGCCCATTTCTGGTGTCCCCCGCCGTGATATTGCTGGAATATTGCTAAAACTAAACTCAGTCAGTCAGTCAGTCGTTGTCTAAAAGCTGTAAAATGATTGGCGCAGTATTGTGGTCGAATATATGGGCCTTTGTTAAAACAAGTTTCAAGCCTCCTACATAAAACAAAATGTTTTCATGAGAAATCTGTGGCTGTACTTTTGTTCAGGTAAAACTTCCTTTTTATCTCAGAGTAAATGTATATTGTCCAGTTTCAACCAAATGTGTTTTCGAATGATATGATCGAATCAATTTGAGCTAATTGAATTATCTTTATTGTTAAGGGAACTAATACTGGTCTGTTGTCCAAATGTCATGCTTTCCAGACCGTGTCCTGTATGGCAGTCTCAGAACGATGTTATTTTCCCTTCCGCCAAGCCCTAAATGAAGCATGTCTAGATTTTCACAGGTTCAGCATCTGTTATCATCTGCAGGAAAACTCAATACTAAGTAAACATATTTAACCCTCATGGTTGGCGGGACCAACATCTTCAGTAACATTTGTATATCGAACCATTGAAAGACATGTGTCAGACTTTTACATTTGCATTTTTTCACATGCAGAAAACACATGAAAACAATGGCCAGCTTTACACATCTGTGAAATACATGTAAATGCAGAGTTGTGTGTTTGTTAATTTCAACATCCCGTTAACCTTGTGTAAATCGGACACATGTTATCGTATCTCATTTGCGTAGATGGATGTTCGTGTAGTTGATGACTGGATAGCCTTGTCCAGACCCGATTATTTATAGACCGCCGCCATACAGCTGAAATATTGCTGAGTGCGGCGTGAAGCTAAACTTATCAAAACGTTTCGCTGGGATGTAGATACCTCCACGGTTTGCCAAAACAACAACATCATTTCCCTATGTAAAACAAATCTGTGTCTTCGTTTGTCAAATTCCGACTAAATCATGCACATGTCTTTATGAACGTATGGTACAAGTCAAAATAGGGGAAATCAAGGTGCTTTGTTGTCACTGACGCTGCCAACCATAGAGCTGTTTGAACGTTTCCCTTTGATCTTGATTACTGCATCCTCGATATCTCCAGGGTATACGTTACGATCACTCTGCACTATATCCTGGATGCATCTACGGCTTTTTATGTTGATTTTATTACCTCCCTTGGCTGGCTTTTTATCCTATCAGGTGTCTACGCTGGGAAGTTGAGCGAACCAGTCACAAGTCACTTTCACTTCTTAAATTATCTAACCGTTTAAACTTGGCAACACAATTGATGCAGAGGTTACTCTGAAGATGTCGAAGGAGTTCTTTTACATAATTTTTAAAGTTTCAGATCTGTCAATTTGTTTGTATTATTTCTCAAATCTGAGTGGTACTGCGATCAAACTTTCGTGACTGCGACCGCTGTCAGGCTGTTCACACTGGCAAGCTCGGGTGTAACGGCGGCTTAGCTGATTGGCTACTGTGAGAATGCGGAGCCAGCAAAGGGAGGCAATATAATTATCGGGCCAAGGCGTGGATGCATCCAGGGTATAGTGCAGAGTGATCGTAACGTATACCCTGGAGATATCGAGGATGTGATTACTGCAACATTGAGTAAACGTTTTCTGCGCAAGGTCTGTATGACCCTTTTTGAGATCTGGGTGTATAGAGCTTGTTCGGTATTTCTCCACAAGGTATATAGTACTATTCAGGAAAATGCGCTCACGTGAAAAGTATATTACGTTCAAACGACGACAGGGTTCAAAGATTTTTCAAAACAGAACGCATTGTTGAGCATTTGAAATGCTGAAAGGGCGGTTTCTACAACCGAGGTGTGTGTTTTTATATATTTTGTTTAGACCAGTGGAATAAAATTCAAATATGAGTGTTTCATTTTCAGTGTAGTCACGAGACATAATGTCAATTGTACTCACGAAGATGTTGTTTTTTCATAATGATGTATTTGACTCTTAATTTGTTTAATTTATGCTCATGTTTAAAACACTCGGGGAACATTGCTAAACACGGGTACCGGACGAACTCTTACTGTTCGTTTTACATACTCATCAAAATTAGAATATTGGCGCCTACATGGTACGAGGTACTTCTTTACAGTTTCCTGTGGTATACGCACGGCATAGACATGTGAGCTGTTTTAACAAAGTATTGGCGAAGCGATGTAAAATAAGATTATAAAGCATGAAACACAACAATCGCGTGAAGCGAGTCACGTGATCACCTTAGCCATCGCACATGTCTGTTAATGCAAGCAAGCAGACCTTGCTATCAGGAAAAGCGTCAAAATTTATAAGCAAAATTTGTATGCCGGGACTCACAAATCAGCCATTTTATCGACCATTATATATTGGGTTGGCTTAATGCTGGACAATCCTTTGCATAGAGACGTCAGGCAATAAACAGTCTGTGGATAATTGTACAACATTTCTTGATACTGAAAATCTAATGGAAATGTCTTAACTCTGACGTTTAAAATTAGGTTTGAAATAATGAACTGTCTAAATCATTCTAAAAGTAATGTGCACACATGTAGATGCCATTATAGTCCGTTTGCTGCAAAATCCTCATACCATTTACGTGAGTTGAGTGAGTTTAGTTTTGCGTCGCACTCAGTAATATTCCAGTTTTATGGCGGCGGTCTGTAAATAATCGAGTCTGGACCAGACAATCCAGTGATCAACAGCTTTAGCATCAATCTGCGCAATAGGGAACCGATGACATGTGTCAACCAAGTCAGCGAGCCTGACCACCCGATCCCGTTAGTCGCCTCCTGCAATTCTAACCCGGATGTTCACGGGTCATGCCGTTTAGGACAATTTGTTGTTTTCGAGTGTATATATATTTGCCATTTCATCGGTACGATTTTGCAGCAAACGGACTATAATTCGGATTTTTTTCACTACCGCCAGGAATATATCAACATTTATATTATACAAAGATATATGCCGGGTTTGGGAAATGATTGAAATGTATGCATTTCTACAACATTTCCATACATTCTCACACTATACGTAGATGCAAATGTAAACAAATGAACTTAAAGACTTGGAAACGAATACATTTACATGAATAACACGTCAAGAGATTGGCTTTTATGTGCAGTGAATCCGTCCAAAGCCCATATCAGCTTCAGAAACAGTATAACATCATTTCACTTTACCTCGGAACGCATCACCTGCAACTGGCTTTGCTGTTTAGTGTTTACCAATATTGTCTGTCGACAGAGTTGGCTGTTTCATTATTTCCAGAAACGCCTGAAGAAACAAGAGAAACATGGGGTCATCGAGTGGATGGCATCATCACCTTGCTGGGCTACAGTGTGGGGGAAGGAACTTTGCTGAAGTTTCCTTACCTGTGTGCAAGGAACGGCGGATGTATGTACGCAGATGATGTGAGTGAGTGAGTGAGTTTAGTTTTACGCCGCACTCAGAAATATTCCAGCTATATGGCGGCGGTCTGTAAATAATCGAATCTGGACCAGACAATCCAGTGATCAACAGCATTAGCATCGATCTGCGCAACTGGGAACCGATGACATGTGTCAACCAAGTCAGCGAGCATTATCACCCGATCCCGTTAGTCGCCTGTTACGACAAGCAAGGGTTACTGAAGGTTCATGCTAACCCGGACCTTCACGGGTACGCAGATGATGTACTACAACGAGGTTTATTTCCCCCAATAAATTGATATCCCCAATATACCTTCATCTTAGAGAAACAGCTCATAAGGTAACTTATTCACTGACGTACAAAATAAATAAACACAAGTCATGCTTCTTTCTTTTTTTTTGTTCTTTTCAATTTCCATATACATTTATTCATTACAATTGTACCTAATTATGTATTCCGTTATGTTATTATTTGTTTTGTTTTTGTTTGTTTATATGGGGGGTTGGGGGTGGGTGTTAAACTGTAAATCAACGTAAATATTCTGAAAAGTGTTTTGACTTGCATAAATTATCTTGAATAGCGCGTGCATAATATGCACCAACACAATGAAACTCAATTCATCGAAATTATTAGTGCCATACTACTTAAACGTATGCATGAAAATACAAATATTATTTGCATTCGAGCGAGAAAGAGCGACTGAAATGTTGCAGATCGGGGTTTCACACAACATCTTTCCCACAACGTTCGCTAGACAAGGGGAACCATTTTCATACTAATGACACGTATCAACCAAATAAACAAAACATATCACAGTCACAAAACTGAAAAAAAATATATGGAAAAATACCTAATTTGTAAGATAATATTTCCTGAAAACCTGTTTGTTCTGATAGTAAATTCGCGATAGAAAAACACAGACTGGAGAATGGCATCAAGCATCTTCTTGTCACAAAACAATACAGTGGCGAAAGCTATTGGTCTCAGAAATGCTTGTTTTGGAGATGCCTTTGTGTTCTGTTTTCAGGAGCATTCCTCATCCCCTACCTGGTGTTTGTGGGCCTCTGTGCTGTACCGCTGTACTTCTTGGAAGTGGTCATTGGCCAGTACTATCGAAAGGGCCCTGTCGAAGTTTGGAAGTTTTGTCCTGCCATGAAAGGTGATGTATACAATATAACTATATAGCAAGTCTTTATCAAGTATTAAAAACCTAAGACACCAGTCCTATCTAACAAATTGTGCAAAAATAGTTTCAATAATAAATTATATATTTTTAGATTTCATGTTTCATTAAATATTTATTGATTCATATTGTTATTTGTCCTTGTTATCAGCGCAAGTAACATCTACAAAGAAGCCGTCTCGGAAAAAAGAACGTAAAATGTTTTAAGAAATTTCTGAATTTTATCCAAAGATTTACAAATGCAAATAACCATTTATTTAAGTATTCCTTTCAATTCAAAACAAATATTTATGTCCGTTCCTCTTTATTGCTCAAATTTAATGAGTGTACTACAAGTAAGTGATATCGAGAAGTTGGTTTGGTAATAGAATGCTTTTGGAAAGTTTATTGACATTTGCTGCAGACTATGGTATAAATTATGTTTGTGAAGGCATCTTCCGAACAAATGTCCAAATGGAAATACAGTTACATTGAAACGAACGTCTCTGGGCTATTCGGTGATGGAAATTATATAAGTACAATTAGCTGTGTTATGTTTGAGGGTTTGGTTTGGTTGTTGTTTAACGCCGCTCTCAGCAATATTCCAGCTAAATGGTGGCGATCTGTAAATAATCGAGTCTGGACCAGGCAATCCAGTGATCAACAGCTTGAGCATCGACTTACGCAATTCAGATACGATGGCATGTGTCAAGCAAGTCACCGAGCCTGACCACCCAATCCCGTTTGTCGCCTTACAACAAGCATAGGTTTCTGAAGGCAAATTCTAAACCGGATGTTGGTTGATGGAAGCAGTGCTGTAGTGTATAACTTCTGTTACCCATGTATCCTTCAAAGCATGCCCTACCTGTACATTTGTATTTTCTGAACAGGCCTTGGCTTGGGCACAGCGCTGGTGTCGCGGATATACGCCATGTACACATCCATGTACTTCTCCTGGTACCTCTACTACTTCATCAACTCCTTCTTCAACCCTCTCCAATGGTCCACGTGTGGGAACTCCTGGAACACGCCTAGCTGTGTGGAGTCGACGCTATATGGACATGCTGGGATGAACACCACAGTCAATGGCACTGTTCCACTGCAAGACGTCAACACTACACACTGGGTTCACCCGAATGTGTCTTCTGGGAGATTTGCTAGTGCTTCAGAAGAATTCTGGAGGTAAGTATTATAGTCATGGTCTTCATAACCTCTGACATAGTAATTGATACCGATGTTGAGACGTTTATAAGTCAATTTTAATGCTTCACTGAGCATCTGTTGTCACCTGAGATTATTTATAGTTATGTGGCTGATATGATTACGATTTTGGCTCCCACAATGTTAGTGAACTCAACAAACCTAAACATATCATTGGATTGACACTAACGCCTTTGATAGGCTTTTAGAAGTTGACAGAACATGAACACGTGGCACGTTTTATCTATAACAACTTAGTCATCCGGTATATTGCAGCACTCTTCCTAAATCGACTTAATGTAATGTTTCTGTATTTCAGCATATAGGGTACCAACAAAAAAATAAACAAACAAACAAAATAAAACAAAACAAAGCAAAGAACAACCAAAAAGCAATACAAGGACAAACACATAAACATGCCAAAAAAAGTCCAAATCTACCCATTCAGAGACGTTTCCTTTCGATATTGGCAAATCTGAACAACGAACTGATTATTTTTTCGCAATCTTACCTCCTCTGTATCCATGAATACCAAATGGCGTCAAATGGTCCTGATCAGAAAGATATTGTTTGTTTGTGGAAAACATAATATGTTGAGTCAACTGCAGTCAGACATTTCAGCTTTAGTACTTGAATGCATGTATATGTCTTCACAATACACAGTCATAGTCATGAGGTGGTGATGAGCTGGATCGCAGACAGGTACATCCTCGATACCCTGGATGCATCTACGTCTCGGCCCGATGATTTTACTACCTCCCTTGGGTGGCTTTTTATCCAATCAGGTGTCTACGCTGGGATATTGAGCGTACCAATCACAACTCACTTTCGCTTTTTAAATTATCTAACCGATTAAATTGGCAACACAATAATATATTGTTGCAAAGGCACTCTGAAAGAGGAAGAAGGAGTTCTTGCATGTATTTTTTAAAGATTTCAGACCTGTCTATTTGTCTGTATGTTTTCCCCCCAAATCTGAGTCGCACTGCGAACAAACTTTCGCGACTGCGATCGCTTTCTTTGTTGACACTGGCAAGCTCGGTTGTAACGGCAGCTTATCTGCTTGGCTACTGTGAGCATGTGGAGCCAGCAAAGGGAGGTGATAAAATCATCGGCTCGAGCCGTAGATTCATCCAGGGCATAGTGGAGATTTTTCGGAACGTATACCCTGGAGATTATCAAGGATGAGACAGGTAGTGAATTCCGAAATATGTTAGCAACTGACATCGGGAGAGTGCAATCTTCAATCTCGGTCTCGATGATACTTGAAACGCAGACATAGCGATCAGGAGTTGCCGAAATTTGCGCACACAAGTACTGAACTCCATGGGGAGAGTGCCATCTTTGATCTGACCAAGAATTTGCTCACAAGACAACTGTTTCAGATATAATGCACTGGACATCTCGAATGGCCTGGATGATACTGGATCCATTCGGTGGCCGTTGTTTGGGTGTCTGACCTTCACCTATGTCACCATGTACGTCATGCTGTTTAAAGGCATCCGGGTCACGGGCAAGGTAATGGCGAACGTCAGTAAATTTTAAACGTCACGGCTGGTGAATAACAAAATTTAATTGTTCGACGATTCCACTGCAAAAATGCTGTGATTTAGCGGGGCTCGGAAATCAGTCACGATATATAGTGTTTGCTGAAAGAGTAAATACACTACTTACTATCTTACTTATCTTACTATACACTATTCACTCATCAATATGCATAAACATGTGGGTACGTTGTTTGAAGGAGGACAGGTAATCCTACCTAGACCCATCAGATCCGGGTTAGAATTGGTCTTCAGCAGCCCAGCCTTGTCATAAGAGACGATTAACGGGATCGGGTGGTCAGACTCGCTGACTTGGTTGATACATTTGATCGTATGCCAATCGCGTAGATCGATGCACATGCTGTCGATCACTGGATTGTTTGGTCCAAACTCGATTATTTACAGACCGCCGCTACCTAACTGGAATATTGGTGAGTGCGACGTTAAATAACAAACCAACAAACCCATTTATGTAGAGCGATGCTCATGCTGTAGATCACTTGATTCTCTGGTCCAGATTGAACTTTTTTTACAGACTATAAATTGCAATATAACATTATTTCCAGATCGTGTACGTCACCTTCATGTGCCAAGTGCTGATGTGTACAGTCTTCCTCATTCGGGGCTCCTTGTTGCCAGGGGCGACGGATGGACTGTTTTATCTGATACGACCAGACTTTGGGTACCCTTGTCAATATCTACAAATCTGCTGTTGGACGGATGGTCAGGATGACTTGCTTGATGCATATCCCTGTATCTGGATTTTGTTGATCGATGCTCATGATGTCAGTCATTGGAAGAACCTAACAGAGTCTTCTTATTGTATCCTAGTTGCGTAGATCGATGCTCATGATGTCAGTCATTGGATGAACCTAACAGATATTGTAAGTTGCGTAGATCGATGCTCATGATGTCAGTCATTGGATGAACCTAACAGAGTCTTCTTATTGTATCCTAGTTGCGTAGATCGATGCTCATGATGTCAGTCATTGGATGAACCTAACAGAGTCTTCTTATTGTATCCTAGTTGCGTAGATCGATGCTCATGATGTCAGATCGATGCCTCATGATGTCAGTCATTGGATGAACTAACAGAGTCTTCTTATTGTATCATGCGTAGATCGATGATGATGTCAGTCATTGGATGAACCTAACAGAGTCTTCTTATTGTATCCTAGTTGCGTAGATCTATGTCAGTCATTGGATGTATTTGCGTAGATCGATGCTCATGATGTCAGTCATTGGAAGAACCTAACAGAGTCTTCTTATTGTATCCTAGTTGCGTAGATCGATGCTCATGATGTCAGTCATTGGATGAACCTAACAGAGTCTTCTTATTGTATCCTGGATGCGTAGATCGATGCTCCTAGAACCTGAACAAGTCTTCTTATTGTATCCAGATGAACCCTAACAGAGTCTTCTTATTGTATCCTAGTTGCGTAGATCGATGCTCATGATGTCAGTCATTGGATGAACCTAACAGAGTCTTCTTATTGTATCCTAGTTGCGTAGATCGATGCTCATGATGTCAGTCATTGGATGAACCTAACAGAGTCTTCTTATTGTATCCTAGTTGCGTAGATCGATGCTCGTGATATCCGTCACTGGACTCTATTATTTACTCGTCAAATGGTTAGAGTATTGGTGAGTGAGACTTAAATAAACAAAGAAACACTTCTTCATCATGAGTAAAATTTGCATTCAGCATCTATACTTGGCGTACTGGCAATTGGGGGATTAGGTGGCCTTTCGTATTTGGTTGAGTCATGTCTTACAGGGGACGGTGGGGTGGCCTAATAGTTAAAGCGTTCGCTCGTGATGCCGAGGGCCCGGGTTCCATTACCCACATTGGTACAATCTGCCAAATCCTTTTCCAGTGTCCCCCCGTCGTGACATTGCTTGATTATTGCTAAAAGCGGCTTAAAACCGTACTCACCCACTCTCTCATGTCACACAACTAGTGAGTGAGTTTAGTTTTACGCCGCACTCAGCAATATTCCAGCTATATGGCGGCGGTCTGTAAGTAATTGAATCTGGACCAGATAATCCAGTGATCAACAGCATGAGCATCGATCTGCGCAGCTGGGAAGCGATGACATGTGTCAACCAAGTCAGCGAGCCTGACCACCCGATCGCGTTTGTCGCTTCTTACGACAAGCATGGGTTACTGAAGATTCATTCTAACCCGGACCTTTACGGGTCTCATGCGACTAGAATACTCGTGGGTGCAGCGTTAAACAACAATGAAATTAACAAAACTGTTATCTTCATGTAGATATGGATCGAAGCGTGTGGCTACGCCCTTCACTCAATGGGCACCAGCACTGGGATCGCCAACACCATTTCCAGTCACAATCAGCGGAGCAGTAACTGCTGCAGGTATATGGGAACGGTTATGTAACACCCGGGTAGAAATATATACTCTTCCAAAGCAAATAGGGGAACATGAACTTTCAAAATTGTCAAAGACGGACATCTTTTGAACGCTCAACTATATCTCTTTGTCACCACCCATAAACAAAACGCATAGCATGCACGTGCATGAGGTGTCATTCTTGATTTTGACGGTTTTAAGAAGGTCGAATTTTTTATTAATTTTGACAATCATTTTGCATCAAACAGTTGTTAGTGTTTGTTTCTATTTCCAGCCGGGTTTAATTTTTGTTTGAAAATGAAAATCGTACGCATGCAAATTTCACGTCATACACCAATCATCTTTCAAGAGCAATTCCTGTACAACCAACTATGGCCATAAGGAAGTGCAAGTGGTGATGCACTCTCAAAACATTCATTATTATCATGTCAACATATATCTCCCAATTTGTTTTCAATCGTAAATTAAAAATGGAACTCCCATACATTTTGTAAGAGAATAATATTTTCACATTCAGATCACATCATGTTTATCTTCCACTTCTGGGGTCCCCAAGCTCATGGATGGTTTAACACATAGAAATGTAAATGTTGTTTTGACAACTCCCATACATTTTGTAAGAGAATAATATTTGCCGAAAGTTTCACATTCAGATCACATCATGTTTATCTTCCACTTCTGGGGACCCCCATTCTCTTCCCACATTTGTAAGAGGTTACTCCTGATCATATTTTCCTACGTAACCCCATTCTCTCTGTTCTAATCCGGCCATATTTCCCGGTTCTCGTAAAATCCCTAGCGGCAAAAGATCGCAACACGAATTATCTCCCTTCTTTCTATCCAATCAGAACACCTGTTACATCGACTTAGATTCAATTTGACTAACACAAGCAAATGTGGGGCCACAAATATCCCCATCTGCCGGGGACTTGTGTTGATGTTACACACAAGACGTTTAATAGCTAGTTTGTCCGTTGTCAACGAGGGCGATGGAGACGCCACTGATCCGCCATAACATAACTGAGTTCTGTCTAGAAGAAACGTTTGCGCATCGCGCAGGGGAAGAAGTTTAGTTTTCTCGAAGCATACGGAAATTACCGAGGCCTTGCGAATGATCACTTTTGAAACAACGTCGCTGATTGCACAACTAAATCTGATTGTCTCCAATCACGAGTCTTGAACGCTCACACCATGAAAGGGCCGTATTAGAACAGAGGTTACGTAGGAAAATATGACAGGAGTAACCTCTGTGGGAAGAGAATGGGGACCCCAAGCTCATGGATGGTTTAACACATAGAAATGTAAATGTTGTTTTGACAGTGTGTCCTTCAAATGTGTTTGAAAACGTTGGTGTTTTTCCTCCACGGAAACCCGTGAAGATCCGGGTTAGAATTCATCTTCAGTGACCCATACTTGTAAGAGGCGACTAAAGGGAACAGGTGGTCAGGCTTGCTGACTTGGTTGAAACGTGTCATCGGTTCCCAATTGCGTAGATCGATGCTCATGCTTTTGAGCACTGGATCGACTGGTCCAGACTCGAATATTTACTGACCGCCGCCGTATAGCTGAGAGCAGCGTAAAACTAAACTCACTCACTAACTCCTCCACGGAAAAGTCCGATTTACCACTCATGTTCAGATAACAACTAATATGTATTTTTATACTACCGGTTATAACCTGGACACCATTATGAACGGAAAAAAATTAAAGAACTTACTCACTGTGAAAACCAGAAAATAGTTGAATCCGTCCACGATTTCATCATCAAGACACAACGCTTTAAATTTTCACAGAAAAATAATTAACTTAACTTAACAATAACTTCTCATAATTGGACTATATTTCTACAAATGGCTTGTTAGACACACCAAACCGTAACTCTCTATTTATGTCTACTTGGATGATAGTGGTACTTGTATTTGATGTAATATCCACACCTGTATTATTTATATGATAGTCACTATCGATGGCGACACATGCTTCACTTAAAGTTTTTGTTGTATGGTGTATGGGACCGGTGTTGATATAAGCTCTAAAGCTTGTTCACCAATCCCAATTCATTTTTATGAATAAAAATATGTTTAAACCACATACAGATACAAACATAGATACATACGTACATAGATACAACCCGCCTCCGTGGTGTAGTGGTTAGAGCGTCCGCCAGGAGAGCGGAAGGTCGCGGGATCAATCCCCGACCGCGTCATACCAAAAGACGTTAAAATATGGTACTTGTTGGTCCCTGTCTGGCGCTCGGCATTGATGGGTACAACAAGGACTGGTCGGCTCGGAGTCAGTATAATGTGTCTGAGTGGGGTATTCATGCTTCACTGCGGCATGGTATCTCGGTGGGCTAGCACTATAAAACCAGCTTCAGTCTGGGCTAGTACAAGCAGCCGCACATACACATACACACGCTTGCACGTCGTCATATGAGCGAAATATTCTCAAGCACGACGATAAACCCAATTTCACGTCACCTCACCTCACATAGATACACTATATAGCGTGGCCGACGCCATGATCAAAAACCCAAGTCGTCCCGTTGTATAATGAGTCCTGCCTGCGCGAATGCAAAAGCAATAACATTCATATCATAATCATTGATGGATATATCAACACCATTACAATGAAGTGTTTTTAAGCATGATTATCCATTTCAACACAGCGGAACAGCCCGACATGTGCCTGCGCAATAAATAAGGTCTATGTATTGTTAGCTAAACATTATTGTTAGCAGTAACGTCTGATAAAACATATTAATTCAGGGCATTTCAATAGCTGTGAGTTGCCAAGCGTAAATCGATAAAGAACAGTTTGTGTAGGGTGACTTCAGTGAATTTGTGTACAAGCTTGAACACGCTTGTTTTGACAGACTGAAAGGGGTGGTGTTTTTATTATTATTTTTATGTTTTACAGATTAAAGATAGTATGCAGTAGAGAGGGTTCGGGTGATCCTGGCACAGTCAGGCTGGTAAGGCTCATCATCAGCTCAGGGCCCTTGTCCCCTCTACACGCAGCCCAGACAGCGAATGGGACTTCTCCCAGGAAACGCTGCCTAGTCGAACCCACCAAGAACTTTCCGGAGAATATGAAGGCTCCCCAACACTGCAGCCTTCTGCATTACCCAGAGTGTCAGAAGGGCTGTGCTCCCGGTGGAGAACCCGGACACTCTCCTGATCTGCGCCAAGAGATCAGGAGATACCTAACCAAGGGCACCGAGAACAATGGGGAGCCTGACGACAGTGTACTTGGGATGCAAGCGAGACATTTCAAAGGGGAGGTCCGCATATTTATATCCATGCAATCACATTTGTCAAAGGGACCAATGATATATAGAGAATCTCACCCAAGTGTCTTCTGATATCAATTATATCAACACGAGTTGATAAAGTTACAAATATGGCTTGCCGAGGATATTTTTACTTTATCAACGAGATATATTGATATCAGAACGAAAGAATTCTATTATCATCAAAATCACTCTTCATTAATTTTCAATGAAAATGTACATCTCTGAACATGGTAAGACTTGCAGTGCAGCGATCATCATTGTGACGGTACATGACGTCATAGCATTGTCAGGGCATTGTACAAAATCTACTGGACTAGGAGATATCGTTTGATCACACAAGCGATATCTCCTTGGAACACAGTTTTGATGCTTTATCAAAAGGACAAGAATTCTTCTGAGGCTGTATATGGGCCTATTCCAGAGAAGTTTGAAAGCATCATTTTCCATGACGCCCTAGACATGTTCAGGGTCGTACCATTGATGGACCTCGGAGTCAAAGCCACAGGCATGGCGAAGACAGTAGTAAAAGCAACGAGCCATGCCATCGTGTCTCTTAAAGGTCACATGCAACGTAAAACACAACTTAGCAGATTCTGATACCTTTCGGTATGGACTTACCGAAACAAATCATCAAAAATGTGAGTGAGTGAGTTAAAATTTAACGTCACATCGGCAATATCTCAGCCATATCGTGACGATTTAAACAATTTATGCAATATTTGTGAAAAGTGTGTTGTGGTGGTAGTGTGTGTGGTGGTAGTGTTGTGGTGATAGGTATGTGTGGTGGTAGTGGTGGTGTGGTGGTGGTAGTGTGTTGTGGTGGTGTGTGGTGGTGGTAGTGGTGGTGGTGGTGTGTGGTGTGGTGTGGTGAGTGTGGTGGTGGTAGTGTGTTGTGGTGGTAGTGTGGTGGTGGTGGTGTGTTGTGGTGGTGTGTGGTGGTGGTGGTGGTGGTAGTGTGGTGGTGTGTGGTAGTGGTGTGGTGGTGTGGTGGTGTGGTGGTAGTGGTGTGTGGTGGTGTGGGTGGTATATGTGTGTGGTGTGTGTGGTGGTGAGTGTGGTGGTGGTGGTGGTGGTGTTGTGGTGTGTGGTGGTGGTGTGGGTGGTATGTGGTGGTGGTGGTGTGTGTGTTGGTGGTGGGTGTGGTTGTGGTGGTTAGTGTGGTGGTAGTGTGTGATGTGGTGGTGGTGGTGGGTGTGTGTTGTGGTGGTGGTAGTGTGTGGTGGTGGTGTAGTTGTGGTGTGGTGGTGGTGTGGTTGTGGTGGTGGGTAGTGTGGGTGGTGGTGGTGGTAGGGTGTAGTGGTGGTGGTCATGTGTGGTGGTCATGGTGTGGTGGTGGTGGTGGTAGTGATGTGGTGGAGGTGGTGGTGGTTGTGGTGTGGTAGTGTGTGTGTGTAGTGGTGTGGTGGTAGTGTGTGGTGGTAGGTGTGGTGTGTTGTGGTGGTGGTGGTAGTGTGTGTGTTGTGGTGGTGGTAGTGTGTGGTGTGTAGTAAGTGTGTGGTGGTGGTGGTTATGGTGGTAGTGTGTGTGGTGGTGGTGGTGGTGGGTGTCAGTGGTGTGGTGTGTGGTGTGTGGTGGTGGTTGTGGTAGTGGTGGTGGTGTGTGTGGTTGTGTGGTTGTGGTGGTAGTGGTGAGTGTGTGTGTGGTGGTGGTGTGTAGTGGTGGTGGTGGTAGTCAATGTGGTGTGAGTGGTGGTGGTTGTGGTGGTGGTAAGTGTGTGTGTGGTGGTGGTGGTAGTGTGTGGTGGTGGTGGTGGTAGTGTGTGTAGTGGTGTGTAGTTGTGGTGGTAGTGTGTGTGTGGTGGTGGTAGTGTGTAGTGGGTAGTTGTGGTGGTAGGTGGTATGGTAGTGGTGGTGGTGTGTGGTAGTGGTGGTGGTGGTGGTAGTGGTGGTTAGTAGTGTGTTGTAGTAGTGTAGTGTGTTTGTGGTAGTGTGTGGTGCTTGTGTTATTTGTGGGTAGTGTGTGGTAGTGTGTTGGTGGTGGTGTGGTAGTGTAGTGGTGGTGGTTGTGGTGGTGTGGGAGTGTGTGGGTGAGTGGTGGTGAGTGGTGGTAGTCATAGTGATGGTGGTGGTGTAGTGGTTGTGGTAGTGGTGGTGGTCATGTGTGTGGTTGTGGTAGTGTGGTTGTGGTAGTGTGTGGTGGTGGTGGTGGTGGTGTGTGGTGGTAGTGTGTGGTAGAAGTGGTGTGTGGTTGTGGTGGTTATGTAGTGGTAGAAGTGTGTGGTGTGTGAGTGTGGTGGTGGTAGAAGTGGTGTGGTGGTGAGTGGTGGTTATGGTGGTAGAAGTTGTGTGGTTGTTGTATGTGGTGGTAGTGTGGTGTGGTGGTAGTGGTAGTGAGTGGTAGTGTGTGGTGTTTCTAGTGGTAGAAGTGTGTGGTTGTGAGTAGTGGTAGTATGGTGGTAGAAGTGTGTGTTAGTGAGTGGTTATAGTGGTAGAAGTGTGTGGTTGTGGTGGGTAGTGGTGGTAGTAGTGGTGGTGGTGGTGGTAGTGTGTGTGGTTGTGGTAGTGGTTATGGTAGTAGTGTGGGGTTGTAGTGTGGTGAGTGGTAGTAGTGAGTAGTAAGTGTGGTAGTGGTGGTAGTGGTTATGTGTGGTTGTAGGTAGTGTGGTGGTGGTGGTATGTGGTGGTGTGTAGTGGTGGTGGTAGTGGTGGTGGTGGTGTGTGTGTTGTTGTAGTGGTGGTAGTGTAGTGTGGTAGTTGTGGTGGTGGTAGTGTGTGTAGTGTTGTGGTAGTGTTTGTGGTGGTGGTGAGTGTGTTATGGTGGTAGTAGTGTGGTAGTGTGTGGTGAGGTGTAGTGGTGGTAGTAGTGGTGTAGTGGTGGTAGTAGTGTGTGTGGGTCATATGTGAGTAGTAGTGTGGTGGTAGAAGTGTTGTGGTGGTGAAGTAATGTAGTTGGTTGTGGTTATGGTAGTAGTAGTGGTGGTGGTAGTGTGTGTGGTAGTAGTGTAGTGTGTGAGTGAGTGGTGTTTGGTAGTGTGTGTAGAAGTGTGTAGAGTGGTAGTGGTAGTAGTGTGTAGTGGTGAAATGTAGTTATGGTGGTAGTGTGTGGTGGTGTTGTGAGTGGTGGTAGTGAGTAGTGGTGTGTAGTAGTAGTAGTGTAGTGGTAGTAGTGTGTAGTAGTGGATTAGTCATATATGGTAGTCATATAGTGAGTAGTGGTAGGTGGTGGTAGTAGTAGTGGTGGTGGTGGTGTAGTAGTAGTAGTGGTAGTGAGTGGTGGTGTGTAGTGTGTGGTGGTGTGTGTATGAGTAGTGTAGTGTGTGGTTGTGGTGGTGGTAGTGTAGTAAGGTGGTGGTAGTGGTAGTGGTAGTAGTGTGTAGTGGTAGTGGTGGTAGTAGTGTGTAGTGTGTAGTGTTGTGTTGTGGTAGAAGTGTGTGGTGTTTGGTGTGGTAGTTATAGGTGTAGTAGAAAGTGTGGTGTGTGGTAGTGGTGGTAGTGTGGTGGTGGTAGTAGTGTAGTGAGTGGCAGTGGTGTGTGTGGTGGTAGTAGTAGTGTGAGTGTGTAGTTGTTGTAGGTAGTTATAGGTGAGGTAGTGTGTAGTGGTAGTGTGTAGTTGTTGGTTAGTGTAGTAGTAGGTATGTGGTGTGGTGGTGAGTAGTGGTGTGTGTGGTGGTGGTGTGTAGTAGTAGAAAGTGTGGTGGTGAGTTGTGGTGTGTGGTGTGAGTAGTGGTAAAAGTGTATGTGGTGTGTGTGTGGTGGTTGGTGGTAGTGTGTGTGGTAGTGGTGGTAGAAGTGTGTGGTGGTAGAAGTGGTGGTGAAGTGTGTGGTGGTATGTGTGTGGTGGTAGTAGTAGTGGTGTAGGTAGTTATGTGTGGTGGTAGTGTGTGGTGGTAGTGTGGTAGTGGAGTGTGTGGTGTGAGTGTGGTAGTGGTGGTTATGGTGGTAGTGTGTGGTGGTTGTGGTATGGTGGTGTGTGGTAGTAGTGTAGTGTGGTGGTAGTGTGTGTGTGTGTTGTGGTGGTAGTGTGTAGTAGTAGTGTGGTAGTTGTATGGTTGTGTGGTAGTATGTGTGGTAGTAGTAGTAGTGTGTGGTGGTAGTGGTGTAGTAGTGTGTGGTAGTGTGTGGTAAGGTGGTGGTAGTGTAGTGTGTGGTGGTGGTAGTATGTTGTGGTAGTGTGTGGTGGTGGTGTGTAGTAGTGTGTTAGTAGTAGTGTGTAGTAGTAGTGTGTGTGTGTGTGTGGTAGTGTGTGTGGTGGTAGTGGTGGTTATGTAGTAGTAGTGTGTGGTGGTGGTGTAGGTGGTGGTGGTAGTGTGTGGTGAGTAGTGGTGAGGTGGTAATTGTGTGTGTGGTTGTGTGGTAGTAGTGTGTGGTGATTGGTTGTAGTATGTGGTAAGTAGTATGTAAGTGGTAGTGGTGTTAGTAGTTGGTGTTGTAGTATTGTGGTTAAGTGTGTAGTGTATTGTAGTAGTGTGTGTAGTGTGTAGTGTGTGGGTGGTGTGTAGTGTAGTAGTAGTAGTGGTATGTAGTTATAGGTGTGAGTAGTGGTAGAAAGTGGTAGTGGTAGTGTGGTAGTAGTAGTGGTGTTAGGTGGTAGTGGTAGTAGTGAGTGTGTGGTAGTGGTAGTGGTATGTGTGTGGTAGTGGTAGTGGTAGTGTGTGGTAGTATGTTGTGTAGTGGTAGTGGTGGTAGTGTGTTGAGTAGTGGTAGTGTGTGGTGTAGTGTGTGGTGGTGGTAGTAGTGTTGGTGGTAGTGGTGGTGGTAGTGTGTAGTAGTGTGTAGTGTGTTAGTGGTAGTAGTGTGTTGTGGTGGTAGTGTGTGGTGGTGGTGGTAGTGTGTAGTGGTGTAGTGTGTATGTGGTGTAAGTAGTATTGTGGTGTTAGTGTGTGTAGTGTAGTGTGGTGGTGGTGGTAGTATGTGTTGTAGTGGTGGTAGTGTGTAGTAAGTGTGTGAGTAGTAGTGTGTAGTAGTGTGGTAGTGTGGTGGTAGTGTGTGTGTGGTGGTGGTGGTGTGTGGTAGTGTGTGGTAGTGGTGTGTGAGTGAGTAGTGTGTGTGGTGGTAGTAGTAGTGTGTTAGTGGTAGTGTGTGTTAGTGGTGTGGTGGTGGTGTGGTGGTGGTGAGATGTGGTGGTGGTGTGTAGTAGTGTGTAGTGGTGGTAGTGTGTGTGTGGTGGTGGTGGTAGTGTTAGTATAATTGAGTGTGGTGGTGGTGAAATTGTGAGTAGTAGTGGTGGTGGTAGTGTATGTTGGTGGTGGTGAGTAGTGTAGTGGTGTGTAGTGGTGGAGTGGTGTATGTGAGTAGTGGTGTAGTGTAGTGTGTGTGGTGTGTGTAGTGGTAGTAGTGTGTAGTGTGTATGTGGTTAAGTGGTGTGTAGTGTGTGAGTAAGTAATTGTGGTAGTGGTGGTGGTAGTGTGTGTGTGGTGGTAGTGTGTGTTGGTGTGGTGGTAGTGGTAGTAGTGTGTGGTGTTAGTGTGTGTGGTGGTAGTGGTTGTGGTGGTAGTGTGTGGTGTGGTGAAGGTGGTGGTAGTGTGTGGTGGTAGTGTGTGGTGGTGAAAGTGTGTGGTGGTGGTAGTGAGCAGTGGTGGTGTGGTGTGTGGTGGAGTAATGTGTGTATGTATGTAGTGGTGTAGTAGTAGTGTGGTGTGTGGTGGTGTGGTATAGTGGTAGTGTGTGGTGGTGTGGTGGTTGGTGTGTGGTGGTAGTGTGAGGTGGTGGTAGTGGTGGTGGTGGTAGTGTGTGGTGGTGGTGGTGGTAGTGGTGGTAGTGTGTGTGTGGTGGTGAGGTGGTGGTAGTGGTAGTGTGTGGTGGTGTGGTGGTGTTGTAGTGGTGGTGTGTAGTGTGGTGTGGTGGTGGTGGTGGTGGTAGTGTGTGGTTGTGGTGGTGGTGTGTTGTGGTGGTTATAGTGGTAGTGTGTGGTGGTGGTGAGTGGTGGTGGTGGTAGTATGGTGGTGTGTGGTGGTGGTCATGGTAGTGTGTAGGTGGTCGTGTGTGGTAGTGGTAGTGTGTGGTGTCGGTGTGTGGTGGTGGTAGTGTGGTGGTGGTGGTGTGGTGGTGGTGTGGTGGTGGTGGTTGTAGTGGTGGTGGTGTGGTGGTGGTGGTGGTGGTGAGTGGTGGTGAGTGGTGGTGGTAGTGGTGTGGTGGTGGTGGTGGTGGTAGTGTGTGGTGAGTGTGGTGGTGGTAGTGTGTGGTGGTGGTTGTGGTTATGGTGGTAGTGTGTGGTTTTTGGTGGTAGTGTATGGTGGTGGTGGTGGTGGTGGTAGTGTGGTTTTGGCGGTGGTGGTAGTAGTTTGTTGTGGTTGTTGGAGTATGTGGTGGTGGTGGTAGTGTGGGTGTGCTGTTGGATGTGTATGGTGTTGGTGGTTGTGTGTGGTGGTGGTTGTGTTAGTGTGTGGTGGTCTTAGTGTTTGTATGTGTGGTGGTGGTGGTGGTGGTGGTTGTGGTAAATGGTGTTGTGTGGTGGTGATGGTAGTGTGTGATGGTGAGTGGTGGCATGTGGTGATGTATGGTTGTGGTGGTGTGAGTGGTAGTTGTGTGTTTGGTGGTATGTGGAGGTGTATGGTTGTGGTGGTGCTGTGTGGTGGTGCTGTGTTGAATCATAACGTTTCTGTAGGCCTTCTTTGAATATTGTTTTCCCAATTCCTAGAGTGGCGATGGTTCTGTGTATCGTGGACCCCCTGATCACCATCTTCTGTGGACTGTCCATCTTCACGGTGTTGGGGCACATGGCGCACGTGACCGGGTCCAAAATGGACAATTTCCAGTCTTCAGGTAGCAGGAAATTGAACAATAATTTCAACAGTAAACTGTCACATGGTACCTCAGTGGACAATGACTAAGAGTTCGGCATAAGTCTGGACAAGTAGTCACACAGGTGCGCGAACACACACGAGGCAGGAACGTCATTATTAAGAGGAGATAATCGCCACGATTCTATTTTATCTGAACTAAAGTTTGTGTTTCTGTATCTTGTACCACTTCTACTTACAAAGAATCCACCCGAGTGTCTCTATGTCGACCTGTGAAGATCAGGGTTAGAATTGATCTTCAGCAACCATGCTTGTTGTAACAAGAACAGGATATCGGGTCGGGTGATCAGGCTCACTGACTTGGTTGACACATATCATCGTGTCCCAATTGTGTAGATCGATGTTTATGATGTTGTACACTGGACTGTCTGCTCCAGACTCGATTATTTACAGACCACTGCCATGTAGTTTTAAATACTAACTAGTATGCCGACACATGTTAATAAATGTTTCAAACTCCGAGACTTGTAATGTGTCGAACTTTTAAGTCAAAAGACCCGTGGGTGAGATTCAAGTCAACTTCCATCACTGTGTGTAAATTTCTAAAAATCGAACAGACAGTGTCGCGATCACGTACTCTATCGTGGCCAGCTTGTGAAGATAAATGCTATCTATGCATTAAGTATAGCTTCAGTGTGAGACATATATATGCTGATGAACCAATTTCATTTTCGACTTCAGGTCTTAATCTGGCGTTCTCTGTGTTACCGGAAGCCGTGACTTATCTCCCCCTGTCCCAGTTATGGTCCGTGCTGGTTTTCATGACCATGATGACATTGGGCCTTGATACGACGGTATATTTAGCTGTTCTTTGCAAATCATTATCAGACTATCTGGATTCATAGCTGGAAGTGAAACCTAGCAACCTGTGCTTGTCGTACGAGGCGACCAAACGGATCAGCTGTTCCTTTGATTATTGTCAGCGTTCCCGTCCAGTGCGGATCGTTGCTTAATATGGCGATTCACCTGTAATGGTTATACCACTTTTAACCGCTTTTTAGAGAGGTTCACAGCGCCGAAATTAATTATTTTATACAGCTCAAAATGTGCTGAGGATCACAACTTATGATAGCAGTACGTCAATGTAATATTGCATGGCAGTTTAATTAACAAGAGTCAAGTGTCTTGGGTAACACACTGCCAAGTAACATGTTACCTATTGTATTTTAGACAATCCGTCACAATAATAGTATCAGAACAAAACAGATAAGTGAATGAATCACGGAAACACATTTATTGTACCCTGAAAACGAATATGTGATCTACATGATGTGATAACAGCCTGCTGGTGCAATACTCCCAAAAAGGAGGGATGTCTGGATAGTTAGTTACAAAGGGGAGACTGTTCTACTCTTCAATAAGAGCGTTGCCGAGTTCCCGTAATTGCCGGAACGATAGGGCGTAGTGAGAGGGGGGATCTGAGGCTTGTGCCACATATGCTCGAAGCCTGTTGACCGGGGAATTTGGAAATTTGGAAAAACTTATATGACATCGTGCATCGTCATGTATGAGGATGAAATCAAATCACAACCACATCCACGTAGCGCCATAGCCATAGTGTCCAGCTGTAGGTCACAATGATTAGGTTCCACCATCTCTACCGATCCCATTCAAGTAATGACGTAGATAGGTGCTCACTACATTGATCACTAGATTGTCTGGTCCAGACACGATTATTTACAGACCGTCACATATTCCGTCATAAAACTGGAATAATGCTGAGTGCGGCGTTAAACAACAAACGCACACATATACCCCCATATTGTGACTCATACCACCTGCCTGTCCCCCAATAGTGGTAACATTGCAATCTTAAAATAGTTCTCCTTGTGTACGCTACTGTCGGGCTCAACGACCCGTAGAGACGAGACAGTGTCTTGACTCATCAGTGATACGTACTGACGATAGTCGGATGACGTCTTGTAGCAAAATTGAGAAAACAGTTTTCCATGTGAGTAGCTGGTGGATGATCCAAAGGTCTGTGTCCATGCTCTGCTTGTCACAGTTTTTCTGATACAAAAGACGTCACTAGCGAGTGGTTGTGTTGATCCAGTTTCAAGCATGCATGTTGTGTCGTGAACAACCTTTTGATCCCCAGAGGGCGTTAGTGCATACAGCTGTCGCAATCATCAGTGCACCCCGGGATAGATTTCATGGATTTCGTCAAATAACATCTAAACACGCCGAAACACAGGTGTTCAAGCACCTCGTAACCAGATCAAGGTGTACCGATATATTTTAACTAGATTGTTGAGTGATGTGATGGAGTTTACATCACAAAAACATGATCCATAGGAAACTTCGAGGAGTATATTTGATGATGGAATGTTTTCAAATTTTGTAAAAGCTACGATGACATATCATGCTTTGTCATCGTGCAGGAATGTGTGGTCAAAAATCCGATATTAATCGTAAGAGAGCGACAGAATAAATTCTTAGCCTAACTACGAAGCATGAATTGTGCACCCTTAACAGTTTGAATGTTCAATACTTTATACGCTTCCTTGCAACCAAACTTGCATTTGGGCGGTGGGTAACCTAGTGGTTAAAGCGTTCGCTCGTCACGCTGGAGATCCGGGTTTGGTTCCCCACAGGGGTACAATGTGTGAAGCCCATTTCCGGTGTCCCCCGCTAGAATAGTTACTGGAATTTATCGCAGTCGCTCGTCACGCCGAAGGTCTTCTGGTTAGATTACCCATGTGGGTACAAGATATGAAGCAAATATCGTGTGTCCCCCTCCGTGAAAATGCGGAAATATTGCTATAACCGGCGTAGAATAATACACACTCTCTCAAATATTTTTAAAAATCCCAAATCTTTTTTTGCAGGTTCCGAGTTTAGAGATCACCCAGGAGACGATAGCTGACCAATTTCCGTCACTGGCCAAGCGTCGGTGGCTTCTTCTCCCGATCGTGTTTCTTCCTTGCTTCCTCCTCGCTCTTCCTTATACCACCCAGGTAGGAAGAAATGAGGCTGTCATGACGTCATTGAGGGACTGTGTTGCTTTGTCCAGTTGGTGTCTGTTTTAAGTGTTTGGTGTATTTCTTACTTATTGTTGTTTATTTCAATGATGTTTTGAAAATAAAGGTTGGGTTACGTTGAATTTGGTTGTAAGGTTTGAGTGCAAACTTTAAAAAATTCCCATCAGTTCCCAACTAGTCCCCCATTGGCTACTCCTCAGCAGGGTTGATTTTTTCTGTGCATGAGTGACAGTGACAACTTACTACTATTATAAACATGTGCCTTAATTGTCCAACAACGCTGTCACTTCATATATATTTTGAAGAACTGAATGTTACTGGTCAAAGTGTTGATTGTGATAGCAAAAACACTGAACAAATATCAACTCCTCTAGGGAGAACAAAATGTTCAGCATGTTGATGTCCGCATCATATAAGTGTACAACCCTAACCCTGCATAGCAGGAAGTCGGGGAGTGGGGAGGGGGATCATTTTCACTGCCGGCCTGGGAAAATGTGAAATATGAACGGTTCTTCCACGAGCAGACTTGTTGCTATGGAAACGCACCTCCTCTGACCACCTGACATTCAAATCTGGATTTCAAAAAGAGAAATATATTTTCGAAATGTATGTTTTGGAGACTGACTGCATGTTACCTTTGGCAGAGTGTTTTCATAAAATACCACTTTATACTATGGCTTAAGTTCATCATGAACCGGTTCGTCAATGTTGTGATATTTCATGCAATGGACTTCATCGAAAGGCAGTTTTGACAAAGCTTGTATAGGTTTGAACACCGGACTTTGACGTCACATTCATGTCCACGGTCAGCTACAGCTCATGATGACTCCCATCTTTTATGCCAAATATTTCCTTTAGTTACGCATCAAGTCTGATGTTCCCATGTTCTACCTCCAGGCCGGTGTCTACGTACTGACCCTCGTAGACTGGTATGCGTCGGTGCCCCCTGTGATGCTGTTTGGGGTGGTGGAGTGTATCGTGCTGGCCTGGGTGTTTGGTAAATATATGATTAATTGTATGGTTTAATATGAGTGATGATTGTTATCATAAACAAAGTCAAACGCCGTTTTGGTACAATGTTGCACGATCAATGACAGTCCGACCCCAGGAAAATTTCATTTAGTGATCATGTCACTTTCGTGTGGACCTATACCTACCCGAAAAAAGGACTTTGAAAGAAACAAAACAAACACACCCAACTCATTGTTGTCCTGTGAGTGAGTGAGTTGGGTTTTACGCCGCTCTTAGCAATATTCAAGCAATAACACGGCGGGGGTTACCAGAAATGGTCTTCCCCATGTGGGGAATCGAACCCGGGTCTTCGGTGTGACAAGCGAGAGCTTTAACAACTGGGCTACCCCAAGACCCCTGTTGTCACGTGAATACACCTGTAATACACCTGTACGTAACGAGACATCTATGTTACAGGGGTACACAGACTGGATAAGTGCACGGAGGAGATGTACGGACAGAGAATTCCAAAATGGCTGGCTTTCCTCATGAAGTACATTACACCGGGACTTCTCGTGGTGAGGCATTCAACTACTAACAAACACTGCTGTGTCGAAGGGACCTAGTACATTACTTCGAGTTATTATCTCCCACTTGGCCTGGTTACTCGATGAAAATGTTCACAGGGATGGATTTCCTGCTTTAGGAAATCCAGCAAACTACATGTATATATAAACTCACATTTGCCGAAGCGCACTTAAACTAACAATATGTTTCTATGAAACAAGTCAAGACTTAATACAGTTAAACACAGTTGTGTAGAAGTTGAATGGACCAACGTATATACTTCGAGTTATCCGAAGTTCGTGACAACCGTACAACTGTGACTATAAGATAACGTAGGGACGAAGCTTTTACCTCGAGGTAACCCTTACTTTTACACCTCATAGTTTGACACAATCTTTTTTGACTGCATGTTCATCTCGAGTGTCTGAGTTTGTGCGATACTTGGGTTTGATATGTCAAAATTGTGTATTCTTTTCGTAACTTCCAGGATTATTATTGTTTTATATTACTCCTGTTAAGAGCTTACATGTATACAGCATACATAGTGGTGTGGTTAAGGGTTTTTTAACAATATAAGAAAAGACAAATCACTCGCTTTCTGATTCAAGCCCAGCCAATGTGAGAATCGTTGCTAAAACTTCAAACTTGCTCTACAGTTCCAGAACAGATGAACTATTGATTCAGGTTCCGCCCCACACAAAGTACATAGATTATTTTCAACAATGTGCATTTTGATCAAACGGGTATTTACAGGAAGAATTCTGTGAAGCAGTCTGAATTACATCCATCTTAGGTTGGGGTCTTCTGTGGTTTTGAATGGTTTAGTAATTGTACTAAGACAGTTTGTATTGATCAACATCTCTTCTTCCCATTTCTCAATTACGTTTAGTCGTTCATCATTATCTGGTAATCGAAAACAGTAGTTTTATCCTTTATAACAGATTTCTAATACATAAGCACGTTTTGTTATCTTCAAACTTCCAGATTATATTTGGGTACGCCTTCTACGAGTACCGGCCTCCAAAATACGGCACTTACTTCTACCCTGAGTGGGCAACTGCGATTGGCTGGCTTATATCGGCCTTCATGATTGTGCCCACCCCGTGCTGATGGTTTACTGTGTATGGAAGTCCAGAGGGGACACATTCAAAGAGGTAACTTAAGTTAATTGTCCAGCTGAGTGAGTGAGTGAGTGAGTGACGGCATGGGTGTTTGGGTGAGTGAGTGAGTGAGTGACAGCATGGGTGTTTGGGTGAGTGAGTGAGTTAGTAACAGAATGGTTGTTTGGGTGAGTGAGTGAATGAGTGAGTGAGTGAGTGAGTGAGTGATGGAGTGAGTAAGTGATTCTTTTGATCTATGTGTGTATACTTGAGTGTGAGTGTTTGTGTGTGTAGGTGAGGGGGTGGGATTATACCCTGTTAAATCTGTTTCGGCAAATAATGAACACAAGTAATTATAATACGTTTGTGTACTGTAAAACGTGCATACATGTAAACCATTTAACTGAACTATACAAAAAAAGAAACAAATTACATTGTATTGTTCAAACTATCTTTACAGAAACTGGTGAATGCATTTATTCCGCAAGATGTACCGACGGATATCTCACTAGACGACAGATGTGAAGAGAAAGAAACCCTCAACGTTGCCACGTAATCGCCTGTTCCACTAGCACATCTTTTATAATCCATTCTATCCATTCCATGATCTATTTCCATTCTGTTGTGATCAATAACCTGGAATCAACTGCTATCATAGACCAGGAAGTGACGTAACCGAATCTCTCCTCAGCAACCCATTCGTCACCAATCGCCCCTTTCCATAAACTCCAAGAAGACTCGTCCCCATTCATTCGTCACCACTCGCCCCTTCCATAAACTCCAAGAAGACTCGTCCCCGTTCATTCGTCACCACTCGCCCCTTCCATAAACTCCGAGAAGACTAGTCCCCGTTCATTCGTCACCAATCGCCCCTTTCCATAAACTCCGAGAAGACTAGTCCCCGTCCATTCGTCACCACTCACCCCTTTCCATAAACTCCGAGAAGACTCGTCCCCGTCCATTCGTCACCACTCGCCCCTTTCCATAAACTCCAAGAAGACTCGTCCCCCGTCCATTCGTCACCACTCGTCCCTTTCCATAAACTCAAAGAAAACTCGACCCCCGTCCATTCATCACCACTCGCCCCTTCCATAAACTCCAAGAAGACTCTTCCCCCGTCCATTTGACACCACTCGCCCCTTTCCATAAACTCCAAGAAGACTCGTCCCCCGTCCATTCGTCACCACTTGCCCCTTTCCATAAACTCAAAGAAAACTCGACCCCCGTCCATTCATCACCACTCGCCCCTTCCATAAACTCCAAGAAGACTCGTCCCCCGTCCATTCGTCACCACTCGCCCCTTTCCATAAACTCCAAGAAGACTCGTCCCCCGTCCATTCGTCACCAATCGCCCCTTTCCATAAACTCCAAGAAGACTCGTCCCCCGTCCATTCGTCACCACTCGCCCCTTTCCATAAACTCCAAGAAGACTCGTCCCCCGTCCATTCGTCACCACTCGCCCCTTTCCATAAACTCCAAGAAGACTCGTCCCCGTCCATTCGTCACCACTCGCCCCTTCCATAAACTCCGAGAAGACTCGTCCCCGTACATTCGTCACCATTCGCCCAATCGATTCGGCTTGTCCCGAAATACCATAGTGGGTCAGGAATGCTCAGCATGTTGACAGCAGCCATGCTCATTGGTGTCATGTCATTAGACGACTATTGTTAGCATCGTATGATACAATGTTAAACCAATTGGCGAATGTGTCTAGGATCTTATCGTTCCAGATTTTACATATATCCTGCTTCATATAGCAGTATCACTTCGGTGTGTCAAACACAAACATGTGACAACTCGCACGCACATGACCATGCGGCATACCATTTATTATCAATGTCTTTCCCATAACTTTTGATTTCCAAATTTTAAAATTTGCATACAAAGTAGGGTTGACTATTGACAAAGAAACAACTATTGCGATGGCAATATTTTATTGCAACATACTATGGCCATGGCAATAGTCTATTGCAACCAACTATTGCAATACTATTGCAATAGTCTTTTTTTCTCCTTGAATTGTCTCATTTGAAGTCATTTTCCAAATGAATGTATAGTTTATATGAAATAAAAACAAGTTGAAGTAGATTCAGTCTCTTTTAATAACTGACAATAAACTTGAAACCCAGATCAAGTTTGTTTAAGAGGTAACTTTAAATCAAATTGAACGAATCTAGTATTTGCTGTAGTTTGCGCTTCGCATTTATCAACGGAAGTAAATTACTAAACTATCGATAGTCACACATACTATCGATGCATCGTTTCGTTTCTACCATCGATTAATTGCCATCGGGGACTCAAAAATTGAAATGCATCGATAGTTCGATGCATCGTTACAGCCCTAATACAAACAGTACATATTCTGTTACGAGTCCTACACACAATTCGCTAAATGTACTCAACAATGTTGTTTTGGAAGGTTTTAGCTTCAAATACTGTGTCTAACATGTAGAGCTGTGTATCGTGGCCGAAGTGGCGAGACGATATATCCCTATACCAGTTTTAATGAGGCGAGACGATATATCAAGAAAGTATTGGCCAGGAACCTGCGAAACGGTTATCATCACGATACAATGGTGGCGATACGATACGTATCCCGATACTTTACAATTTCGAAAAACAGAACAGATAAGATAGATAAAATGACAGCACAACTTGTGTTACATTCACACACACTTAAAAAGCTGTTGGTCTATTAAGATTTCAGCATTTAATGCTTAAGAATGTACAGTCAAACATGTTCAGTGTAACTGGATCTAAAATAAATAAATTTGAAATTGAAGTTTCCCTAGGGAAGTTGTGTTTCTACATCAATGCTTTCACAAACAATTCAATAGAACTTTTATCAGAATTCAAAATCACTGAAAAAACCCTTTTAAGTCTGCTTCCTCAAAATTCGGGATAATGTGTAAAAAGGTGAGGGTGAAGATTTGTTGTATTTTCGCTGTATTTCAGGTGAGACTTCCAGATCTGCATACAACATGCTCTTTCTTGGCAGTAATCCTTCCATCTCCAGATGTTTTACCCGCAAAACCAAACTTTGACCAAACTCGAGCTTTGAATATAGCCGGCGGATCGACTATTATCGTGTCCTCTGCCATCGTCATGCTGGATTATAAGGTTTGTGGGCATGTTTCCCAGTCAATAACCGGACCGAGTCGAAAAATCATGATTGACAAACCATTTAGACTTACCTTCCTTACACCATAATGCGCTCAGTTGCTTACATTCGATCTGTTAAGCATTCTTATTTTTTTTAGTTTTCTTAGTAAATTACGTAAGTAGCATCGGGATATATCGTCTCTTGTGGCGATACATCGATGTATCATGGACCCTCGCGACATAAATATCCCGATATATTGCCTAAATGTGTTCTGTATAGATGCACTCGTATCGCATAGTTGACGATGGAAACATCGATACAATCGATGAATCGTTACACCAGTACTAACATGGAGACATTTTTCACTGGAAACATTTTTAGATTTTACCAACTGCATTTGTTCTAGTTCACTAGATAATGTAAAGTTGTTATCTGATGTAAATTAAGAAATATCATTTGTTTTACATATTTGCTTTATCTACATTCGAGCCATTGTCTATATTCACAGCTTGTTCAGCTTGACCTGAGCTACTCTACATATGCATGACCCGGGAGGTCAAAAGGCACAAACGGCAGGTCAAGTTAACTTCATTAAAAAGGGGAGCAGAGAAGGTTATTAATGCCTAAAAGCCTAAACCATCTCTAGCTTCCTTTTTAAAGAAATTTAGGACATTGCTGACAATTTCTCGACACTGAGATGTCAAAGGGCGACCTTGTCTCGGCTGTTGACAATGAACTGACAAAGGTGCACCCCTTCACAATAATGGACCCAACCAGTTGTGACACGGTCACGCAATGCATGAGTATTCACTTGATCAGGTCAAGCTGAACAAGCTGTACCTGCCATGGCCAATGTACTAAAGAGGTCAACATATTTATTTAGACGAACCACTCTGCTGATTTAATGATACATGCCAGATGTCGACAACCCCTGAACAATATACGGTGTGAACTTTGAGGAAGTTAGTGTGTATGACTTCACACTGCTTATAGCAATATTCTAGCGGGTGACACCAGAAATGGGCTCCACACATTGTACCCATGTGGGGAATCGAACTTGGTTCTTTGGCGGGTGGAACATTAGGCTACCCCACCGCCCTATTCATTTTGAAGCATGTCTCCGGTTTATATATCCGCCCCGCAGTTATGTCTGAACTTTACATTTGATCAGATTTTGAAACTTCTTCAAGCGTATACTATATATCCATACATATATGTATGTATCATTAATTAACCTAAAGCAAAAAATAATATCTCGGGTTTCAGAAACCTCGTGACATGTGCTTTCCGTTATATTCCTATAAACTGCAGATTGCTTATTTGTGATTAAAATGCTTATTTTTATGATGCTCATTCGCTTATTTTATAGTACTTATTCACTTATTTTTACAATTCCTATTCAATTATTTTTATGATGTTTATTCACATATTTTTATAATACTTATTCATTTATCTTTATGAAGTTTTGACGCTTGACAAATAAAACATGCATTCTATGTTTTACGCTTTGTTATGTTTCACCATCATACCTGGGGAGTGTGCAAGCCATGTCAAAACGGTGACGTCGTCGGCTGCAAGGACGTGCGGAGTAATTAGGTCTGTGTGGGATTTGTGTCCTGCTGGTAACGACATCGCGTAGCAGCTATTGTTTTGATCCTTCTTTCAATAGTGACAACGACCATCATGACCGGTCACGTCGCTGACAACGACGTCCAGACCCGGCATATTTCAATTTCCAGAGACAATGTTGTGGGGGCGGTGGGGTAGCCTAGTGGTTAAAGCGTTCGTCCGTCTCTCTTATGACCCGGGTTTGATTCCCCACATGGGTACAATGTGTGAAGCCCATTTATGGTGTCCCCCGCCAACCCGAAAAGATTGGCTTGCTACGCGCCTGTCGGGTACCGCTCGCGTTGTTCAGGTGTCAGCCGTGGCGGGGCGGTGGGGTAGCCTAGTGGTTAAAGCGTTGGCTCGTCACGCCGAAGACCCGGGTTCGAATCCCCACATGGGTACAATGTGTGAAGCCCATTTCTGGTGTCCCCCGCCGTGATGTTGCTGGAATATTGCTAAAAGCGGCGTAAAACCAAACTCAGTCAGTCAGTCAGTCAGCCGTGGCATTTCACTCGTGTTTTCTTATTATCAGCGTGGGGCGGTGAGGTAGCCTAGTGATTCAAGCGTTGTCTCGTCACGCTGAAGACCCGGGTTCGATTCCCCACAAGGGTACAATGTGCGAAGCCCCTTCCTGGTGCCCACCGCCGTGAAATTGCTGGAATATTGTATAAAACTCACCAAACCAAATTCACTCACTCATTTATGCTAATGGTGTTATTCACTCCATCGTCTGAACCAAACTCGAATATTTATTTGTAGCTGAGCCAATGACGTTCGGGAAAATAGCTCTATTTTTTAAAATGAGTGACTGATTTAAGTTTTACACGCCACATGGGTACAATGTGTGAAGCCAATTACTGGTGTTCCCCGCTGTGATATTGCTGGAATATTGCTGAAAGCGGCGTAAAACCATACTTACTCACTAACTGATTATCAGCGTGCGTCTCACATGATGTCCGCAGCACTTACATACCACGAGTTCACGTGTAGCCGATGATGTTCATGCTGTTGATCATTGGGTGATCCAGACTCGATTATTTGTAATAACCGCCGACATATACTCCCCAGGGAGTTGACATTGATAATGCGATGTGCCGTTGAGATTGACATCCAATGATCGAGGGGGAAAATACCAGCGCCTTGAGCATGCACTAGTGCGTGAATATGTGCGTTATATAAATATACAATAATAATAATCATAATAATAATAATAATAATAATAATAATAATAATAATAATAGTAATAATAATATACCTAGAATAATATTGAATGCGGCGTTAAACAACAAACATGCAAACATGTTGACTCGAGGTTCATCAGGTGCAAACTGTGTGGGTGTGAGCATCCTCGTAGGAAGTGCACAATGACATGGATGTCCTGGTTGTCTCTGCACTGCTGGCTGGCTCGGAAAGAAATATTACGCCATTTGGAACAAACAGAGTAGGTTAGAACTTCCTAAGACCAGACTATTCCCAGTTCATGTCATCGTATTACAATTGCGTCGATCGATGATTGGTCCAGACCCCGTTGTTTACAGACCGCCGTCGGGGCATTGCGGCAGCCTTGTGGTTAAAGCGTTCGCTCGTCACCCCGAAAACCCCGGTTCGATTCCCCACATTGGTGCAATGTGTGAAACCTATTCCTGGTGTCCCCCGCCGTATTATTGCTGGAATATTCCTAAAAACGGCATAAAACTACACTCACTCACAGACTGCCGTCTTACAACATATTGGTCACATGGGTGATGGAAAAAAGTGAACAACGAAAAACAAACAATAAAAACCGACAGAACATCGGAAGAGTATGAAGACGCAGTCGAGATTTTACACACGCTTCAGAACCTCTGTTCGAATTCACGCTTGAAATTGCAGCTGAGCGCT